CCAGCTAGAGAGATTTAAAGACTCGTGTTTATCTTAATAACTTTTATTTGAACAGGGCATTCCTATCCGTTAATTATTAGCACAACAAGATGATCTAAACAAGACATTCGTACCTACGATTATTTCAGGAAAGATGATCTGAACACTACATTCCTTCCCAGGATTGTGTCATTAACGAAGATCTGAACGCGACATTCCTACCCATGGTTATCTCAGAAATGATGATCTGAACACGACATTCGTACCTACAATTAGTTTAATAACGATGATCTGAACATGACATTCGTACCTACAATTAGTTTAATAACGATGATCTGAACATGACATTCGTACCTACAATTAGTTTAATAACGATGATCTGAACATGACATTCGTACCTACAATTAGTTTAATAACAATGATCTGAACATGACATTCGTACCTACAATTAGTTTAATAACGATGATCTGAACATGACATTCGTACCTACAATTAGTTTAATAACGATGATCTGAACATGACATTCGTACCTACAATTAGTTTAATAACGATGATCTGAACATGACATTCGTACCTACAATTAGTTTAATAACGATGATCTGAACATGACATTCGTACCTACAATTAGTTTAATAACGATGATCTGAACATGACATTCGTACCTACAATTAGTTTAATAACAATGATCTGAACATGACATTCGTACCTACAATTAGTTTAATAACGATGATCTGAACATGACATTCGTACCCATGATTAGCTTAAAAACGATGATCTGAACATGACATTCGTACCTATGATAATCTCCATAACGATGATCTGAATACGACATTCGTACCTCCGATTAGATTATTAACGATGATCTGAACACGACATTCCTACCTATGATTAGCTCGATAACGATGATCTGAACATGACATTCGTACCTATGATAATCTCCATAACGATGATCTGAATACGACATTCGTACCTATGATTAGCTCGATAACAATGATCTGAACACGACTTTATATTCCGATTGAACTGTATAAAGCGGAACAAATCGGTTTGAATTAATTTTGATTGATAAAACGTAGTGCCTAATACTTATTTTGATTGATAAACAAATGTAAAACAATATTTGACTTAGAAAGAAAAAGTATGATATATATTGACAAACCCTGCTGCTTAATAAATGTTATATACTGTATCTGCAAGACCATCGCTAAAGCTTTGAGAGAGAGAGAGAGAGAGAGAGAGAGAGAGAGAGAGAGAGAGAGAGAGAGAGAGAGAGAGAGAGAGAGAGAGAGAGAGAGAGAGATATTTTAATATAGCTTTTAACAAATTTCCGTTATATTGCTACGATGTCTGCAGTGTAACAGTTTATAGTGATATCTGGCACTGGGGTATCATGCCGCAGACATGTAGGATGATGTCCTACCCCGTCATGTTATCCTCACCACACTAACCTTTTAATGCTGAATGCTGAGAGCATGGTGAGGCAACGTTTAGTACTTAGGCCACCAAAGCGTGGATAGATAGATAGATAGATAGATAGATGGATGGATGGATGGATGGATGGATGGATGGATGGATGGATGGATGGATGGATGGATGGATGGGTGGGTGGGTGGGTGGGTGGGTGGGTGGGTGGGTGGGTGGATCGAGAGAGAGAGAGAGATGGGTGGATCATCGATAGATAGATAGATGGATGGATGGATGAGTGGGTGGTTGGATGGATGAGTGGGTGGTTGGATGGATGAGTGGGTGGTTGGATGGAGAGAGAGAGATGGGTGGATCATCGATCGATCGATCGATCGATCGATCGATCGATAGATAGATAGATAGATAGATAGATAGATAGATAGATAGATAGATAGATAGATAGATAGATTCGTCTTCCAGTGGTCGTAACAAAAGGAAGCCATCTGTGGGGCCTCATGGCCTGTTGAGCACAACGTTTATTTTGTGTCAGACAGCAGGGGAAGTTAGCCTAAAACCGTATGGGTAGTGGCACGCCCAGTAGGTATACAACCATTCTCGATAAGAGCTAATTTTCCTACGTTCCTAATTGACCATATCTCACTGATCCGGAGCAAAGGAAAACAAAAATAAACAGTCCCTGCAAAAAAAAGCCGTCGTGTTATGTTAATTGGCATCAGCCGATTTCTTACTTTACTAAATGGTGTCACCTTTTGATACTCCTATTTACATTTTTAGATGTGTCCAAAAAATGAAACTGGCTTTAAAAACGGCCTAATTAAAGATTTTATACCACAGATTGAGGAAAAATTAAATGCAATTGTACTAACAAAAAACCATAAATATGACGACATAAAAGGGGGAGTAGGAACAATATAAAAACTAAGAGGAGCAGCATGGGAAAGGAAAGAAGGAAGGTAGGGGTAAGGTAAGACTTATACACAGATGATTGCACTAACTTTATAAAAGACCAAAATTTCTTTTAAGCATTTAGAAAAGGAATATGAATCATCTGGCAAATTAAACCACGATAAAACATAGATCCTAAAAAAAGTAACTGGAGAGGGAATCACCGTAGACCCCTCCCTCAAAAGAAAAATATTAAAGGTAGAGTAAATGCTCTAGAGGTGTATTTTGGGTGGAAAGAGGGAAGAAAACCATAAAAATGTGATACGGATGATAAGAAGTAAAATGGAAATCTGGGCACAAACGCCGCTGTATATAATGGAGAGGGCACAAGTAGCCAAAACATACTTATATTCAAATATGAACTATGTGATAAAATCCTTTGATTTTGAAAATAAAATTCTAGAGAAAATAGACAATTAGATAATACAAATGAAATTTTAAAATGCACTACATTAAAAAGCCACTCTATATAAAGTAAATAAAAGAGGGGGATTAGCATTGCCAAGCCCAATTCTAATGAAAGAAGCCAATATAATTAATCGTTTTAAAATATTAAGTTCTAAACGAAGAACTCCGTGAAAAGCACTTTATATAAACTGGTTCGGATTGTTAATTAGGAATAGGGGGGGGGTGTTTATAAAAACAACGCATTGACAAAGAAATTAGTAGCCCCAAGAAAATTTAATTATATTAGGTACTTTTTACACAAATTCAGAGATGTTAAAGAAATATGGAAAATAGATAAGAAGAACACATATGACTTGATTAGGGAAACAGTCATAAAAAAAGTAAAGAGTAAAGTTGAAAATGAAAATTGGGAAGGGGGTAACTGAGAGGTAGTGTGGACTAATTGGACAAATTAAAATCGTTGAGAATACAGAGTATAATGTATAAATACCTACACAATGTTTGGCATACGGGTGAATCAGCAATAAGAAGACATAAAAAAATATAAATAAATGCCCAATGTAATATCATGTAATACCAAAATGCAAGAAAAATGAACAAGAACGGATGAAGATAATTCGACAAATAAAAATAAGCAAATATATCTCAAAAAAATGCTGCTGAACTTGGATATTACAACAAATAACAAAACAGTGAGCGAAATAATTAGCTACATTGTGGAAAGAATGAAAGCCTGTGGTCAGGTAATAGCGATTGAAAAATAAATGTAAATTAAAAATCGACGTTGATGATGATGAGCAATTATAGTCGTATGTGCATGGACGTTTGCTTGACGACTTTTGAAGTCTCCCACTTTCGTAAGAGACCAGAGGACCCACCCGAAGGGTGGGCCTCCAATACCCGCCTACGCGGTTGGCCATCAGCCCGGACCCGGAAAATCGACGTTACAACTATAACCACTAATAATATAGAACAACATCTAACACAGGCCATCCAATAAATCTAACCTCTAATAAATATCATCTAATTACTATTTTGTCTATTTGCGGGACAGGGAACCTACACACGGTAGAAGTAAGAGACGTAGACATCGTGGGACTATGCCAAAGGGCTTTGGCGCCACGCGAAGTTGACAGGCCTGAGAACGAGTTTCAGAAAAATCCGGGTGTAGGAAGCACGTGAACCTGCAGTACATATATACGGAGGAAAAAAAAAAACAAAACATTACTAAAATGGGTGAACCAGACTAACAACTAACCAAAACCTAATAAAAAACACACACCCCCTTTTTAACATTTAAAATATAGGTTATTCGGCTCGTCTTCAGTATTTCGAAATATAAAGGAAATGGAATGGATCTAAATGCAAGAGGTGACATAAATAAATAAAATAAATGTTAATCACTGCAGTACACAAACCAAGTGTCCTCATCATGATAATAGCTATTATTATCATTTATCTAACATAATTATAAAGAGAGAGAGAGGACTCAGAACAAACACAAAATCATGTAAAACAATAGGTCTTTCTTTTTATGATTTCTAGTGCACCGTCTCGCTCAAAATATAAGTAAAACAATTCCAAATTCAAAATTACTTAAAATTTAAAAAAATAAGTAAATATAATATGTATCCACAATTATATATATATATATATATATATATATATATATATATATATATATATATATATATATATATATATATATATGTATTTGCATGTGTGTATATAGGGTATAAGTGTGTATTTATGTATATGCATACAATATGCATAAAACTATATGTATATATGTGTGTGTGTGTGTGTGTGTGTGTGTGTGTGTGTGGAATACAGTAGGAAATCTTGGGAGATCTTTTGATTTGATACAACTGCCGTCCTTACAAAACCCTATAGAGCTAACACATAATATAGCATAACATATATAGCATACACAGGACTTAGAGACCTCTGGCAAAGGTCACAACAATTTGGAAAAGGCGAGAGACTCCGAGAAAGTAATTAATTGAAAGATGATCGGAAGAACGAACATTTCTATTCATTAGGAAAAAATACCCCGTCAAAGTTTTTTAAAAATTACATTTTTGATCAAAATTCTTTTTTAAAAATAATACATTAGCACTTTGGCTAAGTAGGGGTATGGGCATCTGTCTGGTGTCCCCCAAATAAAAGCTAAACATCTCTCTCTCTCTCTCTCTCTCTCTCTCTCTCTCTCTCTCTCTCTCTCTCTCTCTCTCTCTCTCTACGGCGGTTAAGTGGTTAGAGCGTCCGCCTCAAATGCGGGTGGTCGCGGGTTCGATCCCCGGACTAGTCATACCATAGACTTACAAAAATGGTACTAACAGCTGCCTTGCTTGGCGCTCGGCAGTACCGTGCTTTATTAATTCCTTACCAGAGTAATTTATGCCATCAATGCTATAACAATAACAAAGTTGACAAGAAGAAGCAAACCAGATATATCTGCTAAAGGTTGACTCTTTATTACCTCCACCACACGTCCCGAAAATTTAAAGGTAACGTTTTTAGCTATTTTAACAGTTAAAAAAGTCACAATTTTATCAACTTTGAAGACTAAAAAAAAGGAGATCGAACTCTCAAAACATCAGTATTGGGAATGAATGTTGTTTTTTTTTTTTTAAGTACTGGAACTATAATGGCATTGAACCATGCAAAATGAGGACAAAGTTATTTCATTTGACATTTTTAACGTGCAAGCCCGCTGTTTTATAACAAAGCAGATAAGAAGTGCATAATATAAAATTCGTAGTGGATGAAAAGGAGAGGGGAAGAGGGTGGTATAAGAGACTATTATTTAGCCACGTTGAATATAAGACTCGAACGGACAGCAACAGTAAAACCGAAACTGTTATGCATTTCTTTCTTCAAAAATGTTTTCATTTTCGTGATTCTCTATAATGTGTAATCTCTTGTGGACAAACAACACAACCTAAATTTTTGCAGCCAATTCTTATTTTGAATCCGTATGCAACTCTTAAAAGTTAATTGCAAAATGTAGTTCAATTTAAATAGCTTTCTAAGCCCATTCGTAAATAGAAAGTTTAATTTTTTTTTTTACACTGAAGGCAACATAAATAGCATCACTGGGTATACTGGTTGGAAGAATGTGTAATTACAATAAAATGTATAATGTCATAAAAACAAAGTAAAAATAAAACATGAAAACTTTTCAGCAGGCTAATAGAATCAGGGATTTCTGCCCAAAGGTTTGAGACATTTCTCTCCTTAAAACTTAAATGTTGCCGTGTTTCTTGTAACGTGCGTCTCTTGTAAAAGAAAAACGACTGGAATAGTGTGGGAAATACGATATTTGCCCGTGTCCAGGGTTTCTCCGTGCTGGCCAAAGCATATATACAACACCCCTTTAAATATAATGGGCATCATCCATCGAAATTTGTCCTCTTGCACAGGGGATTGGATTGATATCTGGCGCCAGTATTTAAGCACATGAGAACCTGTCAACACCTGGGTATATATTTTGGTAAGCAATTTTGTTATTCATACTGTTTCTAACATTACTATTTTTATTTTACTATCATTTAAAACAAGGTGTGCTTTTAAAGTCCATTGGCATCAGTTTTAGTTAGTATTTTATAGTATATGATGCATTCAGCATTCAACAGCAATGAATTTGGTGGGTGGGTGTATACCAAGTCAGAGGGTTAGTTTTGGCTAATGATCAGGAGCTTGACCTATTTATATAAATTGAAGTTTTTCTAAACGAGCCATCATCTTGAAATCATTAAACTATAATATTTAAAATCATTAAGTTATAATATTTAAATCACATGGCAGGAAGATTTATCGGATAATCGGTTTATTTATGTTGGCGTTGTTGGTCGTTCTTGCTTTTATTGCAAATTTTAGAAGTTTCCTGTTACGTCTGTGTGCGTGGTCTTTTAAAAACTGACCAAGTTTTCACAGGTCTTTAAATTTTAGAAGTTGCAAAGGCATCGCCATTTCGGTTTAATAATACGAGTAGCTTGAAATAATGTTTTAACTAAATTATTTAATATATGTCTAAACCTAATTTGCACAAATCATGTTTTTACACAGAGGGATAAAAATGCTTATTTTATTACAATATTCAGGAGAAAAAAAATCGTATTCCTTATATTTTTGCTTCAGAAAATGGCATTGGAACCATACATAGTAATGTTTTGTAAAGATATCTAAACAAATTTGGTATAATGATAAAAAAGTTGTTTTAAAATTCTTTTTACAAAATCTTCACAGATTATATTTTCAGTACCTTTTATATTAAAACTGTTTATTTGTTTTCTTTCTTTTTTTGGTCAGTTTAAAAAATTGTGTAAAACATGTAATTATAATGTGTGATAATTAAATGAAATTTGCTTCACATTGATTTTGACTAAAACAAAATTTTCAGTGATAGAATATTTACCACTTATTTAGAGAATGTTAATCTTGGAGTGTTTCTGCTAGTTATGGTGCTCTGTAAAACAAAAGTAATGAATTTGTATAATTTTAAGCATTTTCAATCCTATACAATTTTCATTCTACAATACCTTTATTAGGATTGGGTATAAAATAAGTACACTATTACACTATTAGCATTGTATTGTCAGTTCTGCAGTTTCAAATTACCCTATGAATGAGGATATATCAATTCTACAGTAACAAATTGCACTGAATTATGATGTGAAAATACTACAGTTAAAATTACACTATGAATTGTGATGTGTGAATACTATAGTTACAAATTAACACTGAATTGTGATGTGAGAATACTAGTCAAAATTACAATATAAATTGTGATGTGTGAATACTATAGTTACAAATTAACACTGAATTGTGATGTGAGAATACTACAGTTAAAATTACAATATAAATTGTGATGTGTGAATACTATAGTTACAAATTAACACTGAATTATGGATGTGAGAATACTACAGTTACACTATGAATTGTGATGTAGCTTTCTTGCTGCATATACATACTTCTCACAAATATAGTCCCCTTATGGAAAGACCACCCAGCTTATATGGCCACTTTATAGACATACAAGAGGTGGCCTTATTAAAGGTGGGGACCACTTTAGTGAAATCTTTGGTTTTGGAACAGGAAAATAGTTGACCGAAATAAACTTTTCAAATTGGGTTGGTTGCCTTTCACTTTTACAACTATTTTTTGGATATATTGGATGTTTTGTTTTATAAAATATTTGTACACAAGTTTCTCAGGAAGATTTTTTTTGTTATCTGTTTGTGTCCCCATTTGAAAATTTTCATGGGCTGGTCAGACCAAATCCAAGATTGAACCCTCCTGGCCACTATAAAAATTCAAGTGGCAGAAAATGGTATAAGGGAGGTAACTCTGCACTAAAGAAAATGTCTTGAGTGTTTATTTCTCTTGGTTGTGACTTTTAAAAAAAAGGCAGCATATTTTGCAACTATAAATTGTAATTACCAGAAAAAATAAAATAATTTACAAAATTATCTTCCTATGAAAAAGACCCTGTTCCATTTTTTGATGATTGATAATAAAATGTGCATCCAATGGATGCAGACGAGTGAAAGCAAGGAACACTTATTCTTCTGGAAAATATCTTTTACTTCAGTCAGTGTAACTATTTCATATGTTTGAAAACAAAGTTTGAAAACAAAGTAGATATATTTGATGTGTACAAATGTTTATATACCCATAACCCATCCACATGAGTACACATTATGAGTGTGCCTATGATATGTTGTTTTAGTTCATTACACTATTAGCAGTTGATGTGCCCTGACTAACATCTTATATTGTCAAGTTGAATTGCACACTTCAGATCCTGTTCTGCTGTAGCATAATGCACCAGCAGATCAGGGTCTATGTTCAACTGATTATCCCTAAGAAACTGCACAAACCCAGATCTGCCAGTGCATTATATGATGGGAGGTTTGAGTCTGTGCAGTTTGCAATTGAACTCGGCTTGATGGAGAATATATAATATAAGCAAGAAAAAAGAAGTCTTTATATTTAAGCAGAAAACTAAAATGGTTTTACTTGCAAAAGTATATTGAGATCTCAGTTTAAATGTTGTTTGCATATTTCAATATAATTCTAGGTTGATTTTAGGTTTATTGTTGTTTTATTGATATTTTTCCAACTTAACATATTTAATTGCTTTCCATGTATTTTATTACAGCAGAAGTTAACAGTGCCAGCAAGTGTACAGGTAAATATAAAAAAATTGGAGACAGATAATGTGCCATTTTCCCCTACATTTTTAAATTTGAACTTGCAAGTCTGAAGATAGACTATATTTGCTTCTTGTTCTCATGGTTTTGTTTGGATACATTTGTAATAATAATAATTTAAAATTACATATAATTAATTATTATGCATAATTATGTTGTTATTGCAATTATTATCTGATTAATTTTGTTTGAAAACTGACAGATATGATCAATCAATATGAAAAAAATAGTGTAAATGCATCTTTTGCAATACAAGTAAGGACAAAAGTCACAAAATGAAAATTTTATATTTTATCTAGTTTTCATGTCAATATGTTGGAAGTTTCTTTTCAGTTGCAAGTTCATTTTTTGACTTTTGTTGTGGTGGTTTTTGTTTTTTATTTAAAATGTATACTTTTGCTTGCTCTATGAAAAACTGTACTTCCTGTCCTTATGGATGAACCATTTGCTATGTACATGTAGCATTTAGTGTTGCCTCTTCCTATGTATGTGTAACATGTAGTAATGTCTCTTAATATGTACATGTAACATGTAATAATGTCTCTTAATATGTACATGTAGCATGTAGTATTGCCTCCTCATATGTATGTGTAGCATGTAGTAATGTCTTAATATGTACATGTAGCATGTAGTAATGTCTTTTAACATGTACATGTAGCATGTAGTATTGCCTCCTCATATGTATGTGTAGCATGTAGTAATGTCTCTTAATATGTACATGTAGCATATAGTAATGTCTCTTAATATGTACATGTAGCATGTAGTATTGCCTCCTCATATGTATGTGTAGCATGTAGTAATGTCTCTTAATATGTACATGTAGCATATAGTAATGTCTCTTAATATGTACATGTAGCATGTAGTAATGTCTCCATATATGTACATGTAGCATGTAGTATTGCCTCCTCATATGTATGTGTAGCATGTAGTAATGTCTCTTAATATGTACATGTAGCATATAGTAATGTCTCTTAATATGTACATGTAGCATGTAGTAATGTCTCTTAATATGTACATGTAACATGTAGTATTGCCTCTTCATATGTATGTGTAGCTGTAGTAATGCCTCTTAATATGTACATGTAGCATGTAG